GCAATATTAAAATCTATCTTATCAAACTTCTTATCACGTTACGTATTGCTTCATTTGCCTACTAATCCTAATAATTTTACATCCCTTTCCAACATCTATACATTCTATGTCCTATTTCATATATGACGTAATTTGTTTAATCCCGTGATATTGGCCCTCTGATTATAGTAACAAACATTTTTTGGCACTTCATATTATTCCTATAAGTATTCATATCTTTGTTGAACCTTCCTCAAGTGAGACAAACTCTTAAAAAACCATTCATATATATCTATGATTCTGTCCACTGATAGTAGATTCCGGCCGAAGTTGGCGAAGGATCAGTGATCCTGGCTTCGTAAACTGCTAGTCCTGAGTTCGATTCTGTGTAGGGTCTAGCATGCTCAGAACCAGTCAACAACTCAACTCCTGAGTATACTATTACTTCTGGTTAAGCATTATCAGCGGAAGGAGACTTCATTCGGATTCATTCAGAAGGCATAAACAAGCCACTGCGAATGATTTCGTTTGCGTCTTCATGCAGCTAAAGCTTTAGCACTTCTTGAAGAGGAACCTGGACATTCCGTTCAGAAGCGTTCTGTCCTGCCTCTTTTACTACAGTGGCCTTAGTGCTAGTGTTTTCCCTGAGCAGTTGTATGATAAACTATATGTAGCCGTTTTTTATCATTTTTATGTTTTGAAAACCATTTTCAATCGCTTTGTTATCTTGTTTCTTATCAGCTATCTCCAAACGACTATTCACCATTCAACTGATTAGTTGTCAACACTTTTGATTACGTAAGATTATTTATTCTAAACTTTCCAGACATATTTAAAACAATTAGTAGCCTTTATGAATTTAGATAAAGCAATAAGAAGACGTAATTTGTCTGAATCGTGTATTGTGTATTTGCGCAACACATTTCGAACAATCTGATCATACCATGGACTTGTCATAGGAATATATATGATATTAATAAAGGGGTGAGAAAATAGACAAGTTAGGTCAAGTTAAAACGGGACATATTGAAAGTCAAAATAACAATGAAGATCACTAAACCAAATAACAAAGGTAATAGTACATCTGTTATGATATCAAAAGAAAATTTACTAACTTGATCATCGTTTGTCAGTCTGGTGTCATTTTTCGTTGTCAAGTTGGTCAATTGGTAAAGACAACAAAATCAAGTGTAGATTGTTGGATTTGATCAGAGTGTAAAATTATAAAAGCAGTGTGTGTTTACATAGTGAACTTGCTTATTAGTCACATTCGTGTTGATTTTGTCACTTCGTGGGGTAGGGGATGGGAGGGAGGTGTTGTAACCAGGTCAAATTCTGTTTTAGTCCATCATTCCTATTCAGACAATTTGGATTCCACTTGATATGAAGTGCTACTGATGATGTTAGATGCTTTTTATGATTTTTGAAGTTTCCCTGGATTATTTCAATATTGCCAACAATCTACACTTGGTTTTGTCATCTTTACCAATTCACCAACTTGACAACGAAAATGACCCCAGACTGACGAACGATGATCAAGTTAGTAAACTTTGTTTTGATATCATAACAGATGTACTATTACCTTTGTTATTTGGTTTAGTGATCTTCATTGTTATTTTGACTTTCAAAATGTTCCGTTTTAACTTGACCTAACTTGTCTATTTTCTCACCTCTTAACTCTTTGTTATATATATGCTGAGTGGATTTTGTAAATTCCGGTTTTTAATAATACTTTGATAAAGCTATTAGTGGCATTAAATAGCTAAACGTTAGTAAATACAACAATATCGTTTTGTTTTTCATTCATTGGGAAATACAAAAACCTTTATTACGATGAATATGATATACCCAATGCCCAAATTTTTTCAAACTGTTAAAAGTGAACTTGGTTTGGACATGTGTAACCTAATAGATATACTTAAGACTTTGAAATTTACAGTTATGCCAATCACCGTACATTTCATCTTTCTGTATTTGTAGTCCTCTCTTCAATCATATCATTCATGGATGAAATCATTAGATGAAAAAAAAATGTGATAATTTTCAATGAGGCAGTACATTCGTGTATTTATGATAAGTGAGTGGGAAAGTTCCAGGATAGTTTCCGGTCAGGGGTCAAATTACGGTTTCCGCCTAGGTTCATGGACGTGAATCTAAAATCAAAGAAAACTTCTGAACAAGTCCAATCCGTCCCGAACAAGATACGTCTGCGTAGTATAGAATTCGAATTTGGCGCTGAAGCAGAAATCCTTCGGAAACACCTCTGCGATTCTCTGTGGAAAACATACTTCGCCGTGAGCCTACGACTGACGTTTCCCTGAAAGAAACTGTCCATTCAGAACACGAAAGATAAGCTGTCGCATAGGGCCACTTTGGATTCTACCTGATATGAAGTGTTTCTGATATAAAACGTTCTTTGTGATTTCTGATGTTTTTCTGGATTATTTCAATGTTACATGGAGGATTTCATCATGAGCTGACATCAGTTAGAGAACCATTGGAAAACCAACTGGGAGTACTGGACAGCTGTTTCGTCCTAGTTTGGGACTCTTCAGCAGTACGCAACCACCCGTACTGGAGTTCAAAACCAGGACATTCTGGTTACAAGGCGAGCTCGTAGACAATTGAGCCACTGGGACCCGATCCAATGGTCCTTGAATTCTAACTTCTTCCAATTCACGACATAGCGCGACCATTTCGCAATGTTTTCTTCGATGAGTGACTGCCTCATCTTCAACTTGCTATTTCAATATCACCAACAATCTACACTTGGTTTTGATTTTGTTGTCTTTACCAACTGACCAACTTGACAACGAAAATGACCCCAGACTGACGAACGATGATCAAGTTACTAAACTTTTAAAGTATAATTATATTTCAATAGTTTACACACAATGATAAGTTTTGTTATTGGTAATATTTCGAGCAAAATTACTGCCCGTGTTCACACCACTGTTGGAATTGTTTGCTGATATTAGTAAACTTTATTTTGATATCATAACAGATGTACTATTACCTTTGTTATTTGGTTTAGTGATCTTCATTGTTATTTGACTTTCAAAATGTTCCGTTTTAACTTGACCTAACTTGTCTATTTTCTCACCTCTTAACTCTTTGTTATATATATGCTGAGTGGATTTTGTAAATTCCGGTTTTTAATAATACTTTGATAAAGCTATTAGCAGTAGCATTAAGTAGTGAAATGTCAGTAAATACGACAATATCGTTTTGTTTTTCATTCATTGGGAAATACAAAAACTTTTATTATAATGAATAGTCATAACTCATATATTTTTAACGTAGAATAACATATTAGTAGTTATGCGGTGTCAAAATAAATAGTCGTATGTGTGTGACAAACGTGCCAGTCTGAATTCAGTTACAAAATATATTGTGAAGTGGGAGACAATGGTGGTGATTAGTCATAACAGATTCGTAGAATATGGGGTAGGAAAAATTGACAAGTCAGTTCAAGGTTATAAAAGGTGTCAGGTGAGTGAGCGGCTAGTACAAAGTGGTATGTATCAAAGAAGAGATAGTAAGACTGCAATGAGAGGTTCATAATGAAATAACGAATATGTGAAATGATACAGGTGGAGGCATCATTTTGACAAAAAAAGATATCTTTAATAATAAGTCCGGATAGTATAAATGGAAAATTCGAAAGCACTGAAAGAATGTTTTCATGAAGGGCATCAATTATGACGAATAATAATAATTGTTATAATAATATTTGTAATAGTAAGTAAAGGAAAAACAAAAACTAAGAGGGTTAAGGGGAAGGAGCACTCTTGGTGAGAAGAAGAATCACCAATCCAAGTTTGGCCACGGTAGGAACAGAGTCTGGACGTGTTCTTTTTGGATACAAAGTTCCGGTTTAGTCGATCTTATTGGATTAATGGGTGGGATGTTGAACAGTAATCATTGCTAATGTACATTTAATCAACTGCCTGTTTACGTGTGATTTTTTTGATTTAATACGAAAATCACATTCATCAGACATGTCATCACTACACGTCGGAAATCCCAATATCTGTTTGAAAGTGTGGGAGTATAAAAACCTAGCAGCAAAATCTAGATTAGTTTACCCGAATAAGATAAGAAATCTAGAAAATATTTCAGCCATAGATAGCACCACATGCAATTACACACAACCATACAATAGGCTGGATGGGATAAGATGACAGAAAAATTGATAACGGAAGCTTTGTTTATCGAATCAACTGCAAACACGTGTAACAGGAATGATTCAGCACCTGTTCCAGATATCCTAAAAATTCTACTACCCAAACGACGACAAATAGGAGAGAACAAAAAAGACTATGAAACTCAAGTTTCGAAGTTGTAAGATTATAATTAATGAAATGATTATGAAGAGTAATAAATTGTGTTCGAAACCTTGTCATCCAGTTAAATAATACTGTTTCCCTCACTATGTGATATATCTTATAAACAAACTAATATGGAATTGCGATTCATTTCCTTTCTCGTAATTCCGAAAACTTCCATAGCTATTCATTCAAAATGGGTGTTGACTATCAAGCATTTGAAAAATCAATAAATATGTCTATTTAACATTTCTTGTTGGATTAAATAGACGGGAACATTTGTTATACCATGCCTGTTAAATATTTATTTTAATATACTCTACAAAAGAATGAATCATGCTTTAGTTGGGAGAAAACTAAAGTGGGGGAGGGAGAGGATCGAATGTTGTATAAATTCGACATTGTTTATCCAATCCATGAAGAGACAGACATTGAGGTTATTAATCTGCAAACAGCCAAGATTGACAGTTAAAGACATGTAAGGTTATGATTCGGAACACGTCCTTATATATGTATGTATATATGGGGAGTTTCATCAGCCCTAACGGAGTGATTGCTGAAGAAATCTCAGCACAAATGCAAAAGGCCCTTGTGGCATTTGATAACTTACGTCATCTATAGCGTAGACATTATATTTGGCTACCGATTAAACAATATGTCAACAACGCGCCAGTTCACTCTGTCCTACTTGAAAAGCGATATAGGCAGATTTTTATTGGCTGTTGGCTAACTGGCTTCTTATTGGTCTAAAATATAAATTAAGCGGTAATTTGTTATTTTGACACGGAAATTTACAGGCAGTTTAATTGAACGTACTTTACCATAATATAATCACGTGTTAATTTTATGGGTGTGAGTGTAGTGTGATGATTCACAGGCTATTTGGATGCATTAGTGGTACATAAAGGTACATTAAGATATCTGAAATTGTATATTAAGTCAATATAAATCAACAGTACATATATTGATACATTTATTTTAAGTCTAAAATAGGATATGTGCATTTTTGCCTACTAGACGAACATGACTCATTGAGATGTCTGAGAATGTTAAGTAAGTGAATATGAGACAACGGTAATTTTGATACACATATTTTAAGTGTGAAATAGGATGTGTGCATTTTCGCTTACTAGAAGAATGTGATTCAACCGCAATTTCTAGACACTTAATGAGTATTTAATTAGCACACCTTTTAAGTTGTCAGTTCAGTGGCCTGTCATATGTGCTTTACAGGTAAGTATAAATCAGCTAAATTTACTAGGTCACAACAGTGGTATATAAGCACTGAAATATATACTATAGTTCATTTACTTGAAATCATTGTGTTGTGTTCGTTAGGAAACCACTAAATGATGTTGTCAAATACTCCTACTGCCTCTACTTCACGTAATGTGTCATCTCTATTGTGTGATGTAACAGCTACATTCGGAAGAATAATGCTCTGCTGCGTATTTTATACGTGGGTACAGTTTAAGGAAGCTTTTAACGATTTTATGAAGGTACTAACTAAGTTGTTCATTATTTATTTGAAAGGAATCCAACACATCTTATCGGGTTGATTCAAGTAAAAAGGATTCATCCGATCCTATGGAATATAAGTTTGTGAGATTTAAATGCACTTTTGGATGTATACGTGCTCCCCGAGGGGCTGGCTTTAGGAACAGAGGGTAAGTCGACTGTGCTTGTAAATTTTGAAAATTTTAAGGTTCAAAAGTACTTCATGTGAGTCAACAATTATGGTACGGCGTACATCCGACGGATACAAAATAACAAATTACCAAACTGTGCATAACCATCCATGCACAGCAAGTTTCATGTCCACCGATGTATCTAGACGTCGGCTATCATCTGAAGAAATGACAGTTGTACAACCGTTCATTGAAAGGAACACTGATGTCCATGAAGTCATGGATTTTGCGCATGAGAAATTCAGCAAAGTGCTCCTGTATAATGATATTAAAAACATGCGAGCTATGATGAATAAACGTAAGTCGTATCAAAATAAATGGGACAGTAGAGTAGAAATCGGTAGTTTAGAAGACCTTCTTCATCGACTGAGGCAGACAGGTCCAGTTAGTGTTCTGCAGGACAATGCAGGCTTCGTATCGAAAATTATTTTCGCGCGTAATGATATGATAGACCTCTATCATAAGTTTCCAGAAGCAGTTGGAATTGATTCTACCTATAAAACGAATAAGATGGGGTAAGTTGCAGTACAAAAGGGTCTAATTCCTTCCCCAAATTTATTACAGATGGCCTTTATATCAGTTTGTTGTGACTGATGGATTCGGAAGAGGAAGGACTGTTTTGTTTGCTGTTACTAGGAGGGAACGGTTTGCAGATATGAAGGAGATATTGCAAACGTTTAAGGGATTTATGGGTGATATATCGAAAACACAAACATTCACTGTCGACTGTGCAACTGCACAGATCAAAGCTATAAAGGAGGAATTCCCCAGGTGCAGCATTATTTTATGTCTTTTCCATGTATGCCAGGCATTCAGAAGGAGGGTAAGTTTCATTCCCATTAACTAACATAGCGAAAACAGTTCCCAAATCAACGTGTTAAAAAATGGTTGTATCGAATGGCGCACACGCGCAGTTATGACAGGTAGGTTAACAAATCACAATTTATTGCCGAAGGTTTTGGAATTACCTCAACCTCATAAGTATTATAGACGCCGAGGCTGGTGCTTACGTTAGAAGGTACTGGCTAAGGACACGGAAATATTGGGCCGCATCATGCAACCGGTTCACCATCAGTATGGGGAACAATACTAACAACAGAGTGGAGAACGCTCATAGGCAGTTGAAAAGGTATTTACGTAAAGGTGATCCGCTGGAACTGACACTATGGAAAATATGGAGGTGGATTGACCACACAACCATACGTAAAATACATCAAGGCCAGTGGATGCTTCGTAAATGCTACAATTACGATGTAAGTTTCAAGATAATTTACGATTTCTCCTAGGTGCAAACTTCACTGCAGTCTAAATTACGGTGTCTCACTCCGTTTGCTGCCCAGAAAGTTGTCTTAGACTTGCAAAGGCGCATGTTCTTCTTTCTTTCAATATCTTCCACCGCAGTCAATTACGCAGAAGGAAGTCACATCTTCTTCGTAAACAGAAATGAGGCGAAATGCACATGTTGGACATACTGTGCATACAATTTGCCATGTGCACATGTCGTTGAGGCGTTCTTAAACTCATATCTAAACTGTGGTATGTTCCATTTCTTTAAATGTTACTCTTAGATATTCTGAGAAATAGTGAGAGGTGGACACGTCTATATAACACAGAGGACAACATTCCGCGAGCCATCCGCATAGCACCGGAACCAAACAACGCGTTCCGAAATGCTTATGAACGTCTCAGATGTCGTCTCATCCGTCTGAACCAAAGAAATCCAAATGGTACACTGCAGAAAATAGACGAGGTCATTAGAAATTTAGACGATATGCTAACAAATGATCCACAAACAACTTTAAGATTACGGCGTGCCCCTGTTAATCGATTATTCTTGTGAAAATGTTTGTACTAACTTATTGTTTCCATTTGTATCCATAATAAAAACATGTATATCTACAATGCTGTTACACTTTCTTTCCCTTCAAATGCCTGAGAGCGACAGTCTAAAGCATACTTTGGTTGTTTGTTTCGTGATGACAGCGCTTTACAGTCAGCTATAAATTACACCGATCTGAGCCTTATTCACTACGTTTTTCAGCCGAGCATTTCTGGTTCTAAGCATATCCTGAATAATGTTGATTAATACGATTTATCACTTAGACCACAGCACCACCAAGCTTACAACAATTCTAAACTTATTCTAACCTATTCCTCGATAATGCCTTTTTACGGTCTTATTTACCTACCGTGTTCTGAAATGCCACTGGTTGTGCTTAATAAGAACTGCGTGCCGAATTGAATCTTTTCGCTCTGAAGTAACGGCATTCAATGCTTAATATGTCTTGTCAGGCTGGAAAAACGCTAATAAGCAAACCCAGTAGGTTTGATTTAGTGCCAGTCATGCTGGAAAACCAGCGCACAGTTTCATGTCAAACAATGGCGAACAGTTAGGGAGTTTACTTATTAAATAATGTTAGTATATTAGAATAGTATACGTGAAATGGCTCAATGATTGCAGATTTGCCATAATCTTTAACTACCAACATAATAACTGGGAAATTCAGGCTAAATATAAGCTTAATAGAAGCATCCAGTGACAAAAACTGACACACACACTGCAAAATGCGTAAAACATTCAAAAAACCTTTAAAATTCAATGGAAAACGAATTCACGGAAACACATAACCAGCCGACGCAGGAACTCATCATGACCTTGAAACTGACTATAGCCTCTTTCGTCCTACTTCATGGTTGAGACATGCTCACAGATGTTTGCGTTTCATATCCCATGTTAAGTTGTAGCAATAAAGTGAGCAATAATGAAGTTAGGTGTAGACTGTTGTCTAAGGAAGGAAGGAAGGTTAGTCTGTGAGGTTGTAAAGCCACATTTACTGAGACTGGTGAAACATGTGTAACACATGCTCAGCCATTGCCTTCCTTGTCCAGTAATGTTAGCTGACAAAGAAATGGTCTGCAAAAGAGTTAGGTGTGGTCAGACCAGAATACTGGCATAGACTCAAGAAGTTTTTCACGGTTGCTTTTACTAGCTACATAGAGAGGCGTAGTCTGCCTGGTTGGGGTCCTCAGGATACTAAGAACCAATATTTGGAGGCTGTTTTTGATATCGTAACGCGGAAGTTAAGGGAGGTGGTAACGGACTCTTTTTATTAAGGAAAAACTCATCATATTTGTACATTTTTAACCACATTGAATGTTGTCTAGATCAATGGATAATAAGCTGTTCTGATTGGTTGACGATTGGCCCTAGGTTGAACAAAGGAACGGAAAGATTATTCCCGAACCACAACGCAGACTAAATATCTGGATTTCAGTAGTAAACACTTCTACCTCTGCAGCCATAGTCTTAAGATGTTGATTTCAATTTTATTCGACTTCCTAACAATCTGCATCCAATTAGCACACAATGAAATCGTAAAAGATGAAGTCTTAGCACGGGAATTGAAGTCTGTATGGCCAAATTATGTATACTTTACCTTAAACTCACTATTTGCACAGATCTTCCGTGTTGTGGTACTTCTGGGCTTCATGTGTATTTCTTTGTGTTGCTTTCACGTCTCGCATGTATCTCCACAACGCTGTATCATTTGTCTTCTCTGAAGTCAACTGCATCTCCCTACTATCTGATGTTTTTATGCTGATGAACGTCTCTTTATATACTACTGGTAAATCTTATCTGTAGCACTAGCCACAACTTCACAGCATGGACCAATGCTATTCTCGATGGAGTAGATGCTATATCCACTAAGCCTTCTTTTGTCTACCTTTGTGTACTGTATAGAGTATGGCAACTTGTACTGCTGAACTTCTCTTCAATGTTCTGCATTGAAACATTTCAGTCTGTAGCATTGAGGATTATTACAGCCATGTGCATTGACAAATAATCTCAAATTTGTTCACAACTTGTTAGCTGTCTATACTTAAAGTTACAAATTACTTTGAGCAACTACTTTGATATATAAAATACAAAGTTCCAAACTATTTCTTGACTTATAGAATTCAGTTTGCATTAAACAAAGGACTAGACACATTACACTAGTTACCAACCAGTGTCCACTAAAGTATTTCTTCATTTGACAAATGCTGAAATATCCATGATGGATTATAAGTACTGTTTCTGGAATAAAGCAAATCATTATTATTACCATTACTATTATTATAATTTTTGAAGGAATCTCTACGTTCATATATCTTTCTGTTTTGATGGCAAAAAGTTAAAATGTTCATTATCGCTTCATACCTACACAAAGAAGCATTTACTGATGGGAAATTAAAAGTGTAACTTGAAAATCCCCATTCAGTAGTATACAAGAAAAGAAGGCGTTCAGCGAAGAGACTCTTTTCGGCGAATTCATTCACTGAGCTGTACAATCGCATATATATACAATTTTGTTTGTGTGTGTGTACATTAGATTTATAAAGTTTAGATAATTACGTAATATAAGTATTATTTGGCTTGGAAACAAACGTTAATTAGATAGAAAATAAAATAAAATTGATTAAGTGAATTGGATGACGTAATACAATTGAGTAGAATTCAGAGTAGGTCAGGTTGGCAACAGTGTTAATGAGTGGTGGTTAAAATTAAATAAGGGTGGGGGTAGAGAGTAATACAGTTACTTAATTTTCAACTGTATTACTCTCTACCCCCACCCTTATTTAATTTTAACCACCACTCATTAACACTGTTGCCAACCTGACCTACTCTGAATTCTACTCAATTGTATTACGTCATCCAATTCACTTAATCAATTTTATTTTATTTTCTATCTAATTAACGTTTGTTTCCAAGCCAAATAATACTTATATTACGTAATTATCTAAACTTTATAAATCTAATGTACACACACACACAAACAAAATTGTATATAAATGCGATTGTACAGCTCAGTGAATGAATTAAAAGTGTTTCAGCAGATTTAAATCATCTGTAAAACCATGAAGTATTTTAAATTTTTATTCTATTCCTTTACGTTCCCAGTGGAACATAGGGTGGCTTCAAGCTACAGCTTCGACAGTGGTTTTCATTTTTACGAGATGGGGCTGATAGCCTCATGCCCAACCTTCCCTCTTTACCAGTCTTGTTACTGGCTTGGTGAGGTAAAGGAGTGTGTCGGTCGGGGATCGAATCCCGGACCAGGTAAGGCTTGGTTGGCGAGCATTCTACCGCTCAGCCACCGACGCACTAAAGAAACGGTTAACTAAAATCTACAAATTTGAACAGCTGAAATATAGTGAACAATTAATACTTGTACCGCCATTCATTGATTATTCAAATAAACCCAAGTGACGAAGCGCACGTCCTGAATTCCAGTGTTAATCAAATAAGATTGAGAAACAAAAGTACTAAAGAAAACCACTGACTGAAATTACCTGAATCGACGTTAAAATTGATAAGCTTATGGATTTTATCTTAGTGGCTAAATGATCAGTAATTTCAAACGCCTTATAACCTCAAGGTGTCATGGGATTGGATATGTCCTGCTGAAGAATCCTAAACTGGGACAAAACATCTGTTCAGTACTCCCTGCTGTTTTTTTCAGTGATTTCCCAATGAATGACTTTCTCACTGAAATCAATTGCCGATCAATTTTCTTTAGATCAATCTTCAATGAAAACTATCATGAAGGTATCAGTACTAAAAAAGGACGTCTAAAGATGCTATCGCCCCTGGAGATTTGTTGAATTATTCAGCTAATGAAAGGTGAGATTGTAATCACTTTGTTTATACCTGATAAGCGTGATAGCAAAAACGTGATTTCGGATTCTGGTTAAATCAGAAATTAAGGGAACAACATGACTTGTTGTTTGTTTCTTATTTTTCGTTTTTAAATGCAATTAAATGTGACAAACACAAAAGTTAAATTCTGTTTATTTTTGTATGAAATGACTGACTGCCTGACTGACAGCTTAAAAATACGCAAAGTAATTGGTGAATATGTTTGACAGATGCGTTTTGAAACAAATCCATTAATGTACTTTAACAATAGCAATAATAACAACTTTATTCTGGGCAGTATTTATAAAGTGTACAGAATTTTCAGAGGTGTTTATTGCTTGATATTTGCCCTTCGTACAATATCTTCAAGTAAAATAATAATTGACAGGATATCCTTCCTGTGACACAATGGTCTCTTAGCTAAAGCACAAACCATTCCACGATATCTGGTTGAAAGGCAATTGTAAGATTTTCAGAAGATGTACATTTTGAGACGCAAGGACATCACTGAAGAACACTTATCTTCTGTTGTATTGGAACACGTTGTCATACCCACAATCAAGCCTTTCCTAAAATTTATTAGGAACTCGCGAATCCGAAGCTTGTAAACATTTTAAATACACACAAAAGTAGAGAATACCATTCGAGGTCAGGTAACAGATGTTGAATCATTCTCCTAGTGAGTATTCTCAGTTGATTCGATAAAAAAATGCTTCCGTTATCAATCTCTTCCTCCACCCTTTGTTATACTGGATTTTAAGACTCTGATCTTGTCGCATCCTATAGTATCTTTGTGTGTAATTGCATGTAGTGAGTGCAGTAGCTGAGCTATTTTCTGAATTATGTATCTGTACTAGATAACCTGATTCATTTTGTCGAATGAGCTAGTGGGTTGAATGTCACTTTTACTCCTGCTGTGTTAAGAATTTTAATTAATAATTCTGAAGTTCCTTCTTTGGGTGGAAATACTGCTGCTGATGATTTAAATTGCTTATTCACTATGATAAAGGTTTTGCATTTCTCAATGAATGAAAAATAAAACGATATTGCTTTTATAGACGTTTCGCTATTTAATGCTGCTGCTAATAGCTTTATCAAAGTGTTATTAAACCGGAATTTACAAAACCTCAGCTTATCTAAATATAACAAAGAGTTAAGGGGTGAGAAAAAAGACTACTTAGGTCAAGTTAAAACGGGACTTATTGAAAGTCAAAATAACAATGAAGATCACTAAACCAAATAACAGAGGTAATAGTACGTCTGTTATGATATCAAAATAAAGTTTACTAACATGATCATCGTTCGTTAGTCTAGGATCATTTTTCGTTGTGAAGTTGGTCAATTTGTAAAGATAACAAAACTAAGTGTACATTGTTGGATTTGATCAGTGTGTAAAATTATGATAGCAGTGTGTGTTTACGTAGTGAACTTCCATATCACATTCGTGTTGATTTTGTCACTTCACGGGGGAGGGGAGGGAGGTGTTTTAACCAGGTCAGATTCTGTTCACCAACCTCCCTAGTAGTCGCCAACCTCTTCATGAGTAGATTCGAAAATAACATCGTTTCAAGCATACTCACTCCTAAAATATGGTTAAGATATGTAGATGATACTTTTGTAGTGCTAAAACCAGATCTACACAGTTCATTCCTGGAGAAAATAACCTGTGTATCTCCCAGAATCCAGTTCACTTCGGAAGCAGAATCACACGTCGGTGAACTACCATTTCTAGACTGCCTAGTTAAGAGGAAGGAAAACGGACATTTCAGTGTATCCATATTCAGGAGGAAAACCCACTCCAATAAATATTTAGACTTCAAGTCATCACACCCCATCAGCAAAAAGATTTCAGTTGTTTCAAGTCTTGTTAGACGAGCACACTCTCTGATAACCGATGAGAAAGAAAAAGAAGAGTAGAGTATAATTTTACCCATCGGTGTTCTTATATACATAAACTTAGTGATTAACTCACACACACACTGACACACAGACACACACATAC